TTTTTGCAATAACTTTTTTGTTTATTAACCGATTTTAATTTAACCAGTCTCATTTTGTAGATAATTTTACTCCCTATAAGCTGTCTGAGAGTCACTTTTCGCTAAAATTGATGGTTTTCCCTGCAAAGTGAAAAAACTGTTTTCCTCACTTATTTGTTTAAATAGAAAAGTTAGCTAATAAAAGTTTTTGACTCACGAGACGACAGAGGTCTTGTATTATGTTCCTTTAGACAATTTTACAATAATCTAGCGGATAGGACTTTTTTCGAGTAAAAATTTAATTTGCTTGGTCTAAACTTACTGGGTACATGAAAGAGTATACAACAATAAAATATGTAACATGAGTTCAAATGTACGTGTAGCGTTTAGAAGTAGCAGGGGACTAACAACTGGTCAGTGGTCCCCACAAAACAGAAAAAGAAGAAGGCTTATTGATAAGGATAAATAATAGGCAACACACAATTTTAAAAAGATTGGTACGCCACCATGCAGGCGGGTGGCAAAGTTCATGTGATGAATGGGTTGCATACTTCCACTATATAATTTAAAGTTTCATTTATTTAATAAAAATAAAAAATACATTTGCTAAATATTACTTATTACTGAGGCAAATGTATTTTTTATACTTATAATAGGGAGGACATGTACACCTGTTTGAAAAAGAAATACATGGTATTACAAAGTTTTTATTTAAAATGTAAAAATTAAACAAATTCACAAATTCTGCACAATAACAATACTATTTATTTCAACTAACATTTATTTCAACTTTATAATAGTAGTTTATGACAGAAAGCGAGGCCTAAAGTCCTGGAGAGTATATTATACATATAGACATAACAGAAGGTATAACCTACGAATTACAAATACTATTATCAATAAATAAAATATGTCTAACATCGTTCAAAGTTATTTTATTACTCAGTATTTGTGGTAATTTATCACTTACCCAGTCTAGTCACCAAATAGTTATATCTCCACCTTAAGCCACTATATTTAAATCATAGATTTTCTTTAAGCTGCCGAAAGCACAAAGTAATTACCTCCTTTATAAAAGCAGTTTATGGCCGAGTGTCCTAGAGAGTATACTAACAGGTATGTATAACCTACAAATTACGAATACAATTTTCAATAAATAAAATATTTCTAACATCATTCAATATTATTTTATTAGTCGTCACACACTTCACAGCTTCTGTTCTTACTTATCTGGAGGAAAAATGCATTCATAATTTAATTAAAATGTCGATATGCTGATGGAATGATGGCCTGGACGACTGGTGGGATCACATCTTCACATCACAGAGGCGGGATCGTGACGTCACAGTAGCGCTGTTGGGAAGCCCTGTGATAGAACATTTTACTCTGGTGGCGCCATCCCATATGAAGGTGGCAAACTACTCGTGTTTTCAATTTATGCAGGCTGAAAAAGAGTGGTCACTGTATCCTCGCTGACCTCGCTCGCCCCCAGTGTTGTCGTGTGACGACATCTAGCGTCTGTTACAAATTTATATTTTTAAAATGAAAATTGTGGTTGGTTATGGTCTAGAAAGAATATTTTTGTTTTCTAATGATATTACTTTATATCATAGGTATATCCACATAATATATGAAATGTAGTAAATATATATATGGAACGATCCGTGTCAACCGTGCCACCCGCTAGTACAAAAATTGAATCGGTCAAAAAAATCGCACAACGGCTTAAAAAATTCGTTGAGATGAGCTCTTTTGAAAGCCGAGTGGCGCCTACTGTGCCTACAGCCTACAGCCTACTGTGGCATTTTAGAATAGTCTCATTAAATTGACCTATTACAGATATTAGTTTTTCAATTTTTTCTTTAAAAATGAGTGCAGATACGAAAAAAATACAAGGGATAATAAAGTTTCTAAACAGAACTAGGAAACGATTTCCTTTAACGGACACGGTCAGTGGCGCACCACAAAAAAATTTGGGGGTGGAAAAGGGGCCGCGACCTTGAAAAAATGATCACGCGGTAGACTTTCACAATGATTTGGCATACCTATCCAAGTAAACCCCAATAAATAACTAAACCCCAAAATTTGAACAAAATATCTCAAAAACTGTAGGCGCTAGAAAGAAAAAATTTAAAAATTCTTCACTTTTGTACGCCTTGTAGGTCCGTATCGAAGCTTTTGCGGACTTATATTGATATAAACTTTTCTACTTAAAATACGATTCTCTATCGCCTGTTAAAGTCCTACTACAAAAAAGTGGGCCACCCTGTATATATATATATACATGTTTTAGACAAAAGTTATAGGGTTCGGAGGGGGACATACGATGGTGACCTTGAAAATAACCGAAGTCGATTTTCAAGGTCAAACGAGGGTCAACTTCGATTTTTCAAATAAAAACCCCTATTTTTTATTGCAGGATCGTATTCTACGGAGAAAAATACAAACTTTTTGCAGGAAACTATTTTTCGAAAATGCATTTTTTTCCGAGTTTTTCTCGAATTTCGTTCGTCATGTTGTTTGAAGAT